TCACTAATCCAGGTGAATATAATGGGGGGGGGGGAGAGAGAGAGAGAGAGAGAGAGAGAGAGAGAGAGAGAGACGAGAGAGAGAGAGAGAGAGAGAGAGATGAGAGAAGAGAGAGAGAGAGAGAGAGAGAGAGAGAGAGAGAGAGAGAGAGAGATGAGACGAGAGAGAGAGAGAGAGAGAGAGAGAGAGAGAAAAGTTAAAGCTGCTGTTCTCTGTCAGATCCTGGACTCTGAGATCTTTGAGCTGATGCAGCAGAATGGAGATTACACTCACTTCTACTTCTGTTACCGCTGGTTCCTGCTGGACTTCAAACGAGGTGAATTTTACTACTTCCTCTCCAGTTCCTGCTTTTGTCCTCATGTCAGATAAAATAACCACACACACAGACATTTATAAACAGACTTAACGTATGCTGATGATGAAAGTGTGTGTGTGTGTGTGTGTGTGTGTGTGTGTGTGTGTGTGTGTGTGTGTGTGTGTGTGTGTGTGTGTGTAGTGTGTGTGTGTGTTGTAGAACTCTTGTACGAGGATGTGTTTGCAGTCTGGGAGGTGATCTGGGTGGCTCCCAGGATCTCCTCGCAACACACTTTGTCCTCTTCCTGGCCCTGGCGCTGGTGACAGTTTACCGTGACATCATCATAGACAACAACATGGACTTCACAGACATCATCAAGTTCTTTAACGGTATTCAGAGTTTAATCTCACTATGACTAAAGAATGGTACCTAAACATCCTCCCAGAGGAACTCTTGCACAGTCATCAAAACAACAGTTTGGGTGGTCTTCTCAGCACCAGGCAGGAAGGATAAAGTTAGAACTAAGTGGATTAGAACAAAGCATCAACATACTGGGTCCAGGTTCAGGAAACTCCCCAGCCCTTAATCCCACTGAGAACTTGTGGTCAATCCTCAAAATGCAGATGGGCGAAACAAACAAACAAACAAACAAACAAACAAACACACACACACAAATCAGTCAGGCTCTGGACCAGAAGATGATTGACAGCCTGTTCGGGTGATCTACAGAAGGCCATGAGGACCAACACTCGAGATATTGGCACTTTGGTTACTATCGATGAAAATCTTTAAAACTTCTTAAATGCTGTCATTTTACTTCAGTAACCATGGCAACGTCTGGCAGGAAGATGGAGAACCACTGGCAGGAACTTTAGGGTCAGTCTCAGAACGTTTGATCCTGGCTGTAGATTCACACGTGTTTGCTTTTAGTGCTATTTAACTTAAGTATTCAGCATGAAGAATGAGTGAAAGACAATAAAAAGAGAGAAAGAATTAATTAAATAACGAATGAAAGAAAAAGGATAGAAAGGAAAGAGAAAGAACTAAATGAAAGAGAGAATGAAAGAATAAATAAAAGAAGGAAAGAGAAGAAAAACAAAGAATGCAAGAAAAAGAAAGAGAATAAAATGTAAAGTGAAAGAAAAGAAAGAATAAACTGTAAAGAAGGAAAGTAAGAAGACAGAGAGAATGAGAATAAGATAGTGAGAGAGAGAGAGAGAGAGAGAGAGAGAGAGAGAGAGAGAGAGAGAGAGAGAGAGAGAGAGACGAGAGAGAGAGAGAGAGAGAGAGAGAGAGAGAGAGAGAGAGAGAGAGAGAGAGAGAGAGAGAGAGAGAGAGAGAGAGAGAGAGAGAGAGAGAGAGAGAGAGAGAGAGAGAGAGAGAGAGAGAGAGAGAGAGAGATGAGAGAGAGAGAGAGAGAGAGAGAGAGAAGAGAGAGAGAGAGAGAGAGAGATGTTCGATATTGGATTTTTATCCAATATACTGAAGTTGCTTGACTCCACATATCTGATACCGATACATGCATAAATAGAAACCCTGAAACATTTTAGGTCACTAACATCACTAATCTCCTACCAAGCTTACATTTTAAGCATTTTCTGTGCAAAAAGACAAGTAACAGGATAGGAGGCGTGTTTATTTAGTCTCCAACAGCAGCTCCGTCTCATTCTGCATAAGCATGATGACAAGACGTGTGTATTAGTTAGTCATGCACCCTTTCGGACATCACAGCTGTGTTGGTCAAACATTTCTAACAACCTTCAGATAAGAACAGCATGCCTTGGGTGAAGATGTTAGCCGGCTAGCTACATATTAAGGGTAGACCAATAATGTCGGACGTCCCTAAAAAATATTAAAACATTATAAGAAATGTGAAATATGAAATAGCAGCAGTAATTACACCTGATCTTGATCATGCAAATAACCAAAAAAAAAAAAACAAAAAAAAAAACCAAATCAATTTATTTATGGTGCTCGGTTTATGACCAGTCAGTGGTGAAGCCCAGAGATAGGAAAAGTCTGTCTCGCTGTGTGTGAACAGAATCCAGCTGTTACAGGAAACAGCTGTTCTAACAGTCCAGAGCAGAGCAGCTGGTAAAGTGACTAAAGTGTGTTTTCTCGGTTCTGACTCGCAGAGATGGCTGAACGTCATGATGTCCAAAACATCTTGAGAATGGCACGCGAGCTGGTACACAAGGTCCAGTCTCTGATGGACAGCAAGTGACGGGAAGTGGACAGGAAGTGGACAACAGAAAACAGGAAATGTGAATGTGTCCAGCCCAGCTGGAAGTTCAGCTCCGCCTCCCGTCCCTCACAGATCAGTTCAGATGGCCCCCTACGCATCCAGGGCTGGTCCTGGGGGTCCAGGTCTGCGCTGAGCCCAGATGAATGCCCTGGGAGTGAAGCTGAGATGGTCTGGTCCTGGTGCTGGAGTTCTGTTTACATGTCACGTGGAATGCACATGGTGTCTGCTCAGACATGTGGGTTTGTCTGCATGCAAGTGAGTTTAATCACACTGTGAACGCATTCTCCAGTCTCCTGCTCCTACTGTGTGTGTGCATGGAAACACACACACACACACACACAGAGTTATAGCGCTACACTCCAGTGTTGCCATCTAACGTGGCTCTGAAACGCAACCTTTTGGCTTCCTGAAGCGCTGTCTATTTGCCAAACGTCACCAGAGGGCAGAATTTATGCACAACACAGTCAGAGGAGCAGAAGACTTTGCCACGAAGATTTAATTCATCAGTGACCAAATGGACTGTGCCAACAACCTTTCCTCGAGTGTTTTTTACAAGCATGTGTGTTTTTATCCGTCCACCTGTATTTTGGTTTTGTTTCTTTATTATAACACAAATGTTGCCTTTTATTATCAGCCCAAGGTACTGAGATGCACTTTCTGATGAGCGCGTGCTTCATGCTGCCTGTGAAGGTTGCTTTTGACCGGAGGCACTGCAGGAGGCCAGAACGTCGACACAAATCAGGACTAATTGCAGCCAACTTTTCTGAACAGGGCAAGTCAGTCTTTGGCTCCCATTTTAAATATTCCCACAAAATAACAACACAGCACAATTATTAACAGAAAAGCACATAAACCCTCCTGATCCCTGGAACATTAAACTGGTTTATAGTGCCGGGACCTCCAGAACCACTTTCATCCCAGTTCCAGAGCTGTGGAGAGGTCTTCACCCCCCTCACACATTTCTCTGTTTACATTTTTATCGCTTGTTTGTTTCAGATCCTTACAGACAATCTGAGTTAACACAACTATAGGTTTAAAGTCAGGGTTACACTGTTTAGTGGCGTTTAAATGATTCTGCTTGGTGGGTTTTGCCCCCCCAGTCAGTCGATACACATCAGAGAAGATTAAAGATCCTGATGAGCCAAAGTTACAACCAGAAACCCCATGATGTCACACATATGTATATGTCCATTCTCATTAGTTAAATGGATTATTTAAGACTGTATTTTTCTGTTTTACTCTCATACTGACCCAGAAACATGGTGCTGACCAAGTCACGTCCTTTGTCCAGTGAGTCCTCTCAGTTCATTTAGCAAGACAAAGTTTTAAAGGTGCAGTGTGTAAGAATAAAGTGAGATTTTTACAAAGAGTCTAATGTTTCAGTCATTTAGGAAGGAAGGTTATACTGAAACATATTTCACATCCAGAAGCAGATTCTCCATTCAAAACAAAGCCCATTAAACTACTGTTTACCATCAGTGAGTGTGGAGTTGTCGTGTCTGTGAGCTAACACTGCTGCACCGACAATTGTAATTTGACGACGGCAAAAAGTAGTTTAAAGTGGTTGCAGTAACCAAATATTACCACAGGATGTCACTTTTACTTCATTTTTACATAATGCACCTTTAAGGAATTGTGGAGTAAATTTAAAATCTGATCGACTACGTAGGCACAGATTAACCAGGAATTGTTTCTACTGTTTAGATTCAACCAACATTAATCTTATCTGACTCACATTCATCAACCTTTGACTGTTTCCTACTTGACCAAACATTTTAGACGTGGATCAGGGAGCCCGCCCGGATCACTGGTCTTGTAGCACACTCAGCTGGTTTTGGTATTCTGAAGGAAACCAGGCTCAAAGCCGGACATGAGACTTTAAAACCTCTTGTCCTGTTTGGAAAGTGGTTGCAATTGTTCTGATGGGACCGAGCGCCTGGCCTCTTACAAGCCCAAACGTTTGGACCAGTCTGGGGACGGGTTGTCTTGAAGTCCTCTGTGGGTCAGTGGTCTAGTCTAACTTCTGGTTTTGGAGAAACAGCACATTCACATTAGCATCTGAGGAGAATCAGGGGGCCTTTTTGATAATGCTTCTTCTTGAACCCCTGCAGTATGACCCTTGACCCTTCAGTGCCCTTCCCTCCATGTCCAACATGGCTGCATATTATAGGTCATCCATTATTGACCTCCACCTGTGATACAAGTGCCAAAAGTCTTCCCCAATCCTGAAGTGTACTGTAGTCCGCTGCTCTTTGCTTTTATTGGTCAGCTCCCAGGAAAGCGGGTGGTGGCTTGGATGGACCTCACCACGGCCTCTGCCCCCCTGCTGCCATGGTGATGGAGGTGGGCGGGGCCACTGACGTCTTTGGCAGAGCTTTTTCTTCCAATCAGGACATTGTGAACCAAAGCCTTGAAACGGCCCCCTCTGTGGCATGATGAAAATGTTTCCTACTGCATCTTGAAGACTGTTTACGATGTGTGTAAACTATTTTTGAAAAGTGTTCTGGAATTATTTAACTAGTGTAATTTCTGTTTTTTGAGGAACCCATCAAAGTCTATATTGCTGTACAGATGTCTGAACCAAAAGCCCAATCTTTGTATAAAGACTGAACATAAAAATAAACTTATTTTAGGATCCATTTCCTGTTGGTCGCAGCAGCACCGGTGCAGAGATGCAGAATGTGTGCAGACCATGTGTTACGTTGACCGTTGAGTGTTCTCTACTATCGTTGTGCACCGAGTTTCTAATCCTCCTGCGAGCCGGCGGTCTCACTGCTGAACGTCTTGGTTTGGACGTATCGTTTGCCTGAATGTAACATATTATTAAATATGAGGTTCATTTATGTGCTGCTCTTTCCTTTAAACCTTGGATGCTGCAGAAATCAACACGATTCTTTCACTTGAATAAAATGCTGTTCTGTGCTTATGGGTTCTTAAAAATGTTAACCACTTGGAATAAAACCACCTTGATGTTTTACTATTGACAAAAACAGCAATGAGTGTTTATTACCGACAGATTTATTTCTGAGCGATTCTCCTGCCATGTGAGGCAATCTGTACTCTGAATGGTTCTGCCCTGAAATTTGAGCTTATGAAGACTTCTGGGGCAGAAGCAACAGGCCTTCGTTTAAAATCTGCTTTATAAAGTTTATGATGTGTTCCAGTTTTGCATTTACGCCATTCTTTTTGTTGAATTGAGTCATTTGTCCTTGCCTAGTCCCTTTTCAAGTAGCCATAGAGTTTGAGACAATTGCACGTCAGCAAGACTACAGATCAGAAGAACCTGAAGGCAGATGTTCCTAGCTCAACTCTTCTAGGTTGTTCTGCAGTCTTTACTCCTAAACTTGAGACTGAAAAACCCTGTAAGACTCCAACCAGCTGAAGAAATATGTGTAAAACTGCTGCAACCAGCTGACAAATCATAGAAACTAGTTTATGTTGGTAATGAGAGTAGTTCACTTTGTTACCATGGCTACCAGTAGTAGCCAGTCTGACTATCCTGATAGAACCACTCAGACAAACCTTCTCATCTGAAGAGCTTTATCAGGTCAAAATAAAGAGTGCAGCGTGCCAAGCTTTCAGGTTGCAGGTGAGCTAGCTCACAATTGCTCCCTCCAGTGGTATTCAATTCCGGGCCTGGAGGGCCAGTATCCAGCAGGTTTTAGATTCAACACACCTGATTTCAATCAACAGGTAAATAACAAGCTTCTGCAGAACCCGATGTGCTGCTGCTCAGGTGATTCAGCCACTGAATCAAGTGCTGGAGCAGAGAAACCACTAAAACCTGCTGGATACCACCGGCCCTCCAGGACTGGAATTGAATACCCCGGTCTTATTTCCTCCCTGTGTCCAATCTTGGTCCTGGGGGGGCTGCTTTCTAGCACGTTAGAGGTTTCTCTGCTCCAACACACCTGGATTTAATCAGCAGGTGATCAATAGGCTTCTGAAAAGCGTCACAAGTTGCTGGGAAAAGGGATTTGCCCACCGAATCAAGCGTGTTGGAGTACAGAAACAACTAAAACATGCTAGCGGCCCTCTAGGGCCAGGACTGGACACCCCTGCTCCAGAAGGCACTTAGGGTCTGTGTCCACATCCGTTTTCTTCGTGTTCCTGAAGGTGTGGGTTGCTGTAAAACAGGATCAGACTCAGGACTGCACTGAATGTTTTTCATTTTTACAAATGTGTCTTTTTCTGGTCTTCGAGGGCCACGAACCAGCATGTTTTAGTTGTTTCCCTGTTCTAGCACACGCAATGCACCAGCTCAGCAGCTCAAGCTCTGCAGAAACCTGGTCATCAGCTGCTGATTAAAATCAGGTGTGTTGGCAGGGGAATAAAAACACGACATGCTGAACAGCAGCTCTCTGGGACCCGTTTCCCACCTCTGCCTAAGGCCAACAATCCTTGTCTTTTAATCTTACAAAGGTGGGCAGCTTAGTAACTTCAGCTGACAAGCTTGGTACTCTGCACTTTTCAGTTTTAATTGATAAGTTTGGTGTGAAGTCAAATGTCTTCTAAATCTAATCGGGGGTGAGGTCTATAGCAGGCACAATCAGCCGACTGAAGGAGGTGAGGCTCTGCTCCTGAACATTTCATCCTCTGAGATGCTTACAGCTGTATCTGATGGCTTAAATCCTAACTGTGACTCTTATAGCACAATTTCTAAAACTATTAATACTTATAGCAAAACCACTCACTGAGTCTGCAAAACTGAAAGCACAATTAACTGCACAACACTCTTTTTGCAGAACTTTAAACAACTCACTGCTTACACTCAATTACCAAATTTCCAACACACTCTTAGCTAAATTATACACGTGTGGCCATCATTAACACTATTTTGTCAACTGTCTGGCACACGTTCACATGTGAAAACTGTTTTAGATAATTAGTTCACTTTGCAATCAGCCTAAGCAATATAAAAAAGCCACAGGTAAGCGGTCTATGTGGAGTACAATGGAAGGAGCAGTAAGAGTGAGAATCAGAGGAGGCCGAGGAAGAGGACAAGGAGGGGAAAGAGGAAGGGTAAGAAGAGTAAGAAATAGAATGACTGATGACATCAGAGCTACAATAGTGGACCACGTCATCAACCCCGAGGGAAGCTGGCCAACGGGTTCAGCCTAATTTGAGCCGCTACACTGTGGCGAGCATCATTAAGACATTTCCAAATGAGAATCGGCAAGTACTTTGTAGCACTGCCATACTCTGAGAAACACAACAGTACCATGCTTGCAAAACTACTGACATCGTTACTTTACAGAACTGCTAGATGTCCAGATGTTGTGGGCAGAGGAAGAATGTTCACTCCAGAGCAAGAGACCCATATAGTGAACATGGTGATTGCCAATAATGCAATAAGACTGTGCCAAATACAGCAGCGCATAATTGATGACACCATCTTTCAAAATATACACAGTGCAAAGATTTCTGCACCAAGTTGTGTACTTGCGTGCCACAGAATAAGAATGAAGCAAATTTACAGTTCTTTTTGACAGAAACACAGAAGGTGTAAAGCAACTGCGATATGACTATGTGCAGGTAAGCTATAGTGTCATTGGTTCTGAATTTGGAAGTGCATACTGTAGTGCTGTGCATGGGCCTGATGTGTTGCATTTGTTTAGTCTTGTCCAGAGGGTGATGGAACTAGAAGCAGATGCCATGGGACATGAGCTACTTTTTGTAGATGAGGCTGGTATTAACCCAAGTAAAACCAGGAGACATGGCAGGAACATATTTGGACACTGTGCCATCATCCATGTCCCAGAACAATGTGGTGGTAACATAACCACATGTGCAGCTATAAGCCGAAATGGTGTTGTTCACCATCATGCAACCATAGGCCCATTCAACACTGCACACATTATTGCATTCCTGGACACCTTACATGACATGCTCGCTGTCCAGAGACCAGAGTAAACCCGATATGTCATCATATTGGACAATTGTTAAGTTTCCATAGGGCTGCTTTGGTCCGCAACTGGTTTACAGACCACCCATCCTTCATGGCACTCAGCCTCCCATCGAGGAGTTCTTCTCTGCCTGGCGCTGGAAGGTGTATGACCTTCATCCTCATTACAGGCAATGAAGGAGGCATGTAGAGATATTGACCAGGCATCATGTCAGGCCTGGGTACGGCATTCAAGGAGATTTTCCTCGGTGCCTTGGACTGGAGGATATCTCATGCGATGTGGACGAAATTGGTTCTGATTGTTTCTTTTTTCTCCCTTATTTTTTTGTGAAATTACTATTTTGTGTTCTGACTTTGTCTTGGTTTTGATGTGTGAATAAACATCAATACTTAAAGTTTGGATTGTTTACATGACACTATGACCTCAAATTGACATCTACCATGAAAGCAAAAGCCAGATGTTTTGTATTCATACCATCAGTGCGCAGTTAGCACATTGTGTGCTGCTTAGATGATGACTTGTGCACGGTTTGATACGAAAACACCATTTTTATGAAGGTGTGAAGAGTTAATCTAGCAAGAGAACTACAGAGTTTTAATAGAGGGACAGGTTCTTATTTGTGTGTAGAGTTTAGCAAAAATAGCCAATAGTTACAAAAGTGCTTAAGCAATCAGAAAAACTGTAAACTCCTGAACAGCAGCGAGTTTCAAACCTTCGCGGTTGGTTTTAATCTTAATTTCTATCAAGTCTGGGGTTAAAGGATGACAACAGGCTGGTTTTTATATAAAAAAGCATTGTTTTTCACGGTTGATACATTTGACTGATCAGTACCCATGAGATTGCACAATACAAAGGCATGAAGAAAATTAAACATTAAAAGAAGTATTGCATCTTCCAGGAGTTGATCTTTCATTCATAAATATTTCAGTTCACTGTAGTTTCTTACAACAGAATCACAGTTTCTCTTTAAACATGAGTGGATGAGCATGATGTGACACAATGAAAGCATCAGCAGACATTCGTTGGTGCCGAGAAAGTTTCTCGTTTAAGGTACGACACTGAAGGCTGAGAGTTCTCCTGAGCAGGGGAGGGGGGCGGCGGCTCACAGGAGCAGAGCTGACGTGACCGATGAGTCATGATGGAGTCCAGCATGGTGGGGTGACCTCTTCTGATCCACATTCCTGTACAGAAAGATGAAAACAGAGGGATCTGGTGAGCTGCTAGAACAGAAGCTGGGTCGGTCTGACCTGGTCTGCACTCAACGTTAACTCAACTACAGACGCCAGAACAGCAATTAAAACCAGTTTATCAGCTTGTCTGACCAGCAGGGGGCAGTCATGGCTTGAGTTAGAGAAGAACAGGAACCTGTAGAGAGATGCTGATGCTGACAGAGGCCCAATCCAAATACTCGCATTTCCACACTCGCGCCCTTCAACTGCGCATTCCTGACCAGGGGTGCGAGTGCGTAGGGTGTCTCGATTCTCAAGTATGGAAGTTGATCACGCCCCTTTTACACCCTTGATCCGCACTTCACCCAAGTCCACATCGATGCAGACTTGGGTGAATGGTATTAGCCACAATCCATTGCTGCAGGAGAAAAAGATTAAGTGTTTTTTCTGAAAATACATATTTTCAAATGAAAGCAGTTCATTTTAGGATGATTAGTTGATGCTCTGAATGTCTTAGAAAAAGTAGCAATAAATATTAATTTATTAGAAATAATTGTTTGGTTGTTTCTTTGAAAATTGTTAATAAAGGGTTTTTTTAAGTAGCACAGCGGCCAGCATCCCGGCATGCGTTGCGGTCGATGACGCAATGCTCCCTGGCCCAATGTGGCAATTATTTGCCCACTTGTGTACTACACACTCAAAGCCTTACTGCACACTTCCTCCAAGTGCACTCCAGAGAAGACCGTAGGGCGCAATGCAAGTATTGGAATTGGGCCAGGTTCTTCACTCATCCGAACAACAAATGATGTCTAGAGACATGATAAAAGGTTTGTTCAACACCTTCGGGTTCCCACCTGCGTGAGAGTTGGTATGAACCAATCAGACAACCATCTGACTTTGTTTCAACCAGTACTCTGTCCTACGAGGCCCTAGAGCAGACCCCGTACGGTCACTGGAAGCACCTGGTGCACAGGTGATGCTCTTAATTTGAAGAGCTCAGCAGCAGTGTGGTGTGTTTTAGGCCCTGTCCACACGTAGCCAGGGATCTGCCAAAACGTAGATATTTTTCTATGTTTTGGCCTGTCATCCACATGAAAACGGAGTTTTTTCACACGAAAACGGATCTTTTTAAAAACTCCGGCCAAAGTGAAGATCTGCGTTTTCTCCGTTTTGGGTGTCTGCGTGTGGACAGACAAAACCGGAGTTTTAAGGTCCGCAACGTCACTTTCCGCGACAAAAAAATGCTGACATCACGTGTGCGACCCGTGTTTACACTAGCCGACAGCATGGATGCCCTCAGAGCTGCGCTCGCTTTATCAATTGTCCAAGCGCTTTCTGCTTGTTTGTTTTTGCAAGCGGAATTACTGCTCCTTGCTTTCGCACACGACGGAGGACAAGGTTAAGAACGAGGGAAGCACTGCCGCCTACAGGTCTGGCATGTCCTTAACAACGTATTTATCCGGGTACGTGTGGACAGAGTTTGTTTTTAAAAAACGAGGTGGTGTGGATGCAAGTTTTTGGAGGGGCGGATATTCGTTTTTTAAAAAAACCCGGCTACGTGTGGACTAGGCCTTAGTCTGAGGAGGAGAAATAAACACAGTTTGTTTCCAACTTAATCAATATTTGTGTTAAATAATCATGAATTTTCCTCTGGGAAAACCTGAAGAATCAAACTAATATGATTAGGCTTCTATAGAAACATTATAAACAATTAACATCTAAGCTGTTGACAGCTCATTGAAACACTTCAGTTTGGAGAAAGGAAGAGGAGGTCTGACCGGACCCGAGAGGGACCGGCTACAAAATGGATCGCTGTCAATTAAAAAATAAAATTCATCTTACAAAAATGCATGGGTTCATGCCATCGTCTCAAACTGCAGTATAAAAAATGTATATTTAGATAGTTTGAAGACCAGCAGAAGGTCCGCAACAGTCAGAATAATAATGACTGTGTGATATGAAACTGAGCAGTGTGAAGTAGTGCAAATAAACATTCAGAAGAGACAGAAACCCACATTAGGACTAGTCCAACTGTAACTAGTCGTTAGCTCATCAGTCTGGTCAGATTAAATCTTTTTCAGCAGTTCAAGGAGCCATCTAAAACTTGTTAGAGTGTTTATCGACACCTCCTCACAGAAACCCACTCTGAAAGGCAACTCGGACCAGGTCTGTCTGAAGGAGACCAGTTCTCAGGGTTCTGGAGCCTGCTGGTGTGCTTTCACTTCCATCCACACATTCATCCATTTAAGTTCAGCTGTGTAGATCCAGAGTCCATCCCTCTGTCAGTACCTGTGTGCTGCAGCGCCACGCCCCCTCGCATCCTAACTCGGGTTGGGTTTCTCTGCAGACTTCTGCATCTGTGTAGACAAACAAACAGCAGGTCCACTTTCAGAGACAGCTCAGAAACACCACCAGCATGCTGAGTCACAACATCCAAGAACAAGAGCAGGCTGCAGTCAAAACATGACATTACGAAGCATCTAGAGTAAACAAAACATTATAAATAAATAAGTAAATAATGAGCCGTTTTGTTCAGAGGCTCGGAAACCAAAATGAAACAATGAGGCAACAAAAGCTGAAAACTCAAGAGATGGAAGCAGTCATGACAGTGAAACCAGAAATGACCAACAGGCTGCATCAGATGTGAAAAACAACAGATGAGTAACTGTGCAGATGGAAGGCTGACCGCATCGTCCACAGAGCTACTTGGATCAGACGCCAGAACTCGACTGAGTCTTGAAAACAAAAGAAGCTAACAGAACAGCCAGAGGTGTTACTGTACCTGTGATTGCTCTTTTAGGAAATCTGGCAGCTGAAATTCACCTTTAAAGACCTGGAAAAACAAAGGGCCAGCTTTAGAACTTCAGAGACCCTGAGGAGTCCAGCGTTTCAGATGGAACTGAACCATAACTCAGATCAGTCAGACTGCTCGTCTAAACCGAAGCCTGGAGAATAAGAGCTGCAGGGGAGGACACACCTAAAGGTCCCACCAGCAGGAGGCAGCAAACAGCTTCAAACAACAACTGAGGAAGAACAGAAGCAGGGTCTATGTCCTGAAGGACATCTTCATACTGGGACCATGTCCAAATTTAGGGCTGCAATCGCCCAATGCCGTATTTTAAGACCGATTACATCACAGCAAAGCAACAAGGATGTTCAAATTTGAAGGATACTCAAACTGCGTTCTTATTGTTTCAGAATGTCAAGGACACATATCCTTACTGACAGCCTATTCCAGGATTTATTACAGACAGAAGGAGAGGCTTCATTTGGCTTAATCTCAATTTCAACAAGTTCCTCTGAATCAATAATCTCGGTTTGTTGGATGATCACAACACCATAGCATCACAATATACGGCAGACAGGGATTTCAGACACCCCAACATGCTGCAGTCAGCTAGCAAGCTAACACAGAGCTAACATGTTTCCTCATGAGAGTTAAAATGTCTAAACGGCACTGAGCAACAGACACTTGTAATGTGGGCATACTGGGCATTCAACATGCTGGAGAAGACTGAGCTGCACGTTAAGTGACACCTGAAGCATCTTCAGATTTAGTTTAAACAAATGATAATAAGGCTAAAAGCATGAGGTCAAAGATTGTTTGACATTTGAGAGGAATCAAACCATTGCATCTTCATGCCAACCAGCCATTACATTATGAACACCTGCCCCCTCCTAGACTCTGCAGGTCTCCTGTGGATTCTACCATTCTGATGACTGGTTCGTTCAGCACAGAACAACACACTGCTGTTCCACTGGCCTGAGTCAACAGCTGTAATGTTCATTACATTTGAACTATTTTTGCAGAAACAACAGTCTGACTGGCCACTGCCTTCAGGGAATACTGTTCTACAAACAGACCTGATCAATAACAACGTTCACCTTGGTACTTTTTACCAAAGATAGGACAGAAATGCTTCTGTCTATTCATGCTTGTCACTTATTCATCTGGCAGACAGGCCACAGGGCCTTGGGGTGGTATCCCTGGGCCATTGGAAGGACCTATAGGGTCTCCAGGTGTCCACAAGGCCAGGACCTACACAGGAAGTGAAAATAAATATGATTCACTGGATCAAACCAGCTTCCCTTTGCTCTGTGATCTGACGTTCATTAAATAATTGAAGGTTTTAGTAACGCTAAACTAGGGCTGCACAACATATCGAAAAATTATCGTCATCGTGATAACAGGACGTGCGATAGGCCCATCGCAAAGCACGTCAAAAATGGTGATAAATGTTTGGTTCAAACATTTCCATCCGTGTCATACATCAACTTTTTGTAAACCAGCTCTGTTTTTTTACGCATAAGTATTATTTGACCAATCAAATACAGCCCTTCTGATATGCAGCCAATCAGATGGGTCCGTTCACGTAATACGCCCGCCCCCTACTTAGACCCTTACCTCAAAATTCCACTATCTCCTCTCCGGCCCCGCTTTCCACTATCGCTCGCTTCCCTTGTTCGTCATGCTGGCTCAGATTAACGAACACACTTTGTGCTGAGGTTTCTGGATTCAGCGCTGCTTTCAAACGTGAACGCGAGTCCGCTCGGTGTCGTTAAGCAGCTGATAATAACCGGGCTGACTCTGACACGTGCCTGTGAACCAACCCACCTACCTCCATGTTGCTAGTGTTAGCCCCAGGCTCCGGTTAGCTTCCAGCTAAAAGGCTACAGCACTCTCCTCCCAGTCCCACCCTGCTAAAGAGGGCCTGGAAAAGTTCCCCCACACATCAAAGTGATTTTTCATTCATGAGCTTTTATAACCTTGTTAATCAGGATAGTTGATTTGCTGCTGCACATAAACTGTCAGTCAGAAGCTCTGCTAGCCGGTTATCTTAAGAGGAGCTAGTTCAATTTGTTAGCTTGTTATCAGAATCATAGTTGCAGTTTCATCATCTGAGCTGCTTTTTAAGATCTAGGTAAACTTGTTCAATTTGGGGTTAAAAACAAACGTTTTCACATATTTTCGATGCTTTTTGCCAGTTCCTCTTCTGAAAGGTAGACAATTGTTTTTCTCTTTCCCTCAAAAAATCTTAATATTCTCCTAGTTTGGCCCAGCACAGTTCACTTCCCAATTACAGCAACAGCCTTATATCATAACCACATAAGTGGAGAAAATGCTCAGAAGCAATGAGAGAATTTGCTGTTGCATTTAAGTGATGTTAACTATTATTTAACATTTCAACTTATTTTCTGATATTTTTTATTTATTCAAAAAACCCTGGTAAGGGATGTTTTCTGTATTTGGAGCATCAGAAAAAGTTTTATGGTGGAGGTGATGTTTTAAAGTCACTGAGAAACTGCATGCATGCAGTGTGTTGTTTTGCTGCTAATACAGTAGCAGGTGCAGCTGCATGTTTTTGCAATAAAAATGTTATGTTGTAATGGAATTCATGCATTAGTTTTTGTTTGCTTTGAACCCAGAGCAGACGCCACACGCCAGACGACATCAACACTGCATACTTTGGTATTTGTTCATTTATCGTGAGTAATATCGATATCGCAATATTAAACACTGTTATCGATTATCATAGGTTTTCCTAATATCGTGCAGCCCTATGCTAAACAATCCCCGTCAATGAGTCATAGCAGATTTTGAGGCATTAGACGACTCCAGGTCCTGACCCCAACACATACGCCCTACAGGTGGTAGTCATGATAATGGAATAAATGGTTCAAAAGGTAGTTGCAACTAGGAGGGAGAGAACTTACGGTCGCTGCTTGCAGTTGGGGGTTTCTCATTACCCCAGCACCTGAAGTGCCATCCCAAAGCTGTCCTGCTGAAAGAGCAGGCAGCTGCCTTTTATTAGATGACTCACCCCACCCTGCAATCACCCTAATGTGAGCCACCTGGCTCCTTACTGGGATGCGACCAGACGAGATCCGTCTGTCCCATCACAATAAGCAGTTTATTTCAAACCTGTTGATATCACAATAAGAGCCGTTTTCTGTTTCCAGCAATCATGTACCCTGATGCATGTGGCCCCTTCTGAACTGCTGTAGCTTAGTTCCGCGTTTTGTGTTTAGGTGTGGGCTTTCGCTGCTTTTCTTCGATTTTCCCTTATCCTTAGCTGCACTAAAAGCAGCTTCTACATCAAAGTCAGCAGCACAAATAAAAGATTTTTCCAAGAAAACTGGAGATCAACTTATTCTCTCCATTGACAGCTGCAGGCCCCAACACTCAAGAGAAAAGCAGTAATCGATGAAAATGATCACTGCTCTGTGTTAGTGTACAAACACAAAAGGAGGGGCTGGTCTTCAGTCCCTGGCACCCCTACCCACCCACCCCAACTCCAATCCACAATGTAAACTAACCACCAGAACACAAATCTCATCTTTAACCCGCCGAGTGCCATCGGCCTGACTCACGACCCTGAATGTGGCACAGGAGCAGAACTGATTCCAGCAGCAGAGACAGAGAGGCCAGCACATGTTTTTGATTTCCTCCTGGAGGCCGTTTTTCAGCTTTTCTCATCACAAAGAGGCTGCAGTCCAGTCTGATCTGAGCCAGTCCAAAGCCTCTGCTGGGTACAATGGAGCATGCAGGATGAGCTGAATCCTGGTGCTGGCAGTTGTGTGGAACAGCTCACTCGGTCGAACATCAATCTGTCCTTCAGAAAAGCAGATCAAAGGCCAGATGTCACCGATGAGGGGTTCCTGTAATATGAAGCCAGTGTTCTGCTTCCCAGCCAGCCCTGGCCTTGATCTCCATTACCTCTGAAAGATCCGTTACCACGACCATGAAAGAAGACTTGTGGCCAGCCTCATCGACTGGGGCTTGGTAACCAATCAGCAGACACACATGCAGCTAAATGACCCCACCACCACCTTCAAAACTCCACAGCAAACCTTTCCAGCTGTCTGGACCTGCAACTAGCCAGCTCTCTACCTGCAAACCACTTTTCTACTTCTTCAGTTGAGTAATCTTTTTTCCATTTTCATCTTGTATCCATGAAAACTAGCAACAGCTGCAATCCTCTGACATTAATGGCTTATTTTAATTCAGTTGCCAAATACTAATAACTGAAATGTTTCATGCTGGCTCACACAGCCCAAGGAGACATTCTTATGAATGTCTCCTTTTTGCCAAACTGTGAGTCCAAAACTTTGACAAAATATGAAAAGCCTAAGCCAATAAACCAGAAAGGCCAGAATAAAAAAAAGTTAACTGCTGGCTGCAGCTTTCCAACCAGACTCAAAACCTCTGACGCAAGGAGAACATTCACATGACAAGATTTCAGGTTATCAAACCCCTAAACCTGCCCCAGGGTGTCCCAGCAGAGCCCATCTGAGAGGAACCGGCTCAGGAGCCTGCTGGTGGGAGGACGCAGCAGGTCAGTCTGGTGTGCTGGAGCCACAGTCGACCCTCCAGAGTTCTGGCCTCAGCAGCACTGACTCAGTCTCTGGAGGTCAAACGTGGAAACAGTCTGGTGGGTTTGAGAAGCCGCTGGTGTCGGGTCACCAGCAGCAGGAAACCGCTGCAATGGCACGCTTGTCTACTTCCAGCTTCCAGGCAACGTCCTCCAAAAGCTATCCGGGCTGAAGAGCAGACTCTCACTGCTCCGATGCCAAAACATCAGAAACCTAAAAACCAAACATGTCACATCCAAACCAAAAGAATCACTCTGCACCCATCAAGTCCACTCGTCTGCATCAAACCTGATCATCTTTACCACGTCGTACTAGACCACACTAAACTCTGAAAATACACACACCAGCACAACCACGCACAAGCGCACGCACACCCCCTCACACACACGCGGATCCAAGCTTCAATTCCTTCAGAGTCCGGGTGCTTCTGCGGCCTCTCTGACCAACCAGAAGAGTTTT